ACCCACCACCCCCCCCAAACCCCCACACAACCCCCAAAAATTGGGCCCTCCTCCGAATTCCATCTGCAGGCCAATGCCGGTTGTCGACCACCCGGAGGAGGGCCTTCTCTGTGGCTGCTCCGGCCCTCTGGAACGATCTCCCAGTGGAGATTCAGACCCTCACCACCCTTCAGGCTTTCTGAAAAGCCGTTAAGATCTGGCTGTTCCAGCAGGCCTGGAGCTCCTGAGTTCCACCCCTACTCGAATTGTTGTGCATGTTGTGACTTTTTAAATTGTTTTGTATTGTTGTTTGTTTTTTGTCTTTTTACTTTTTTGTATTGTGACCCTTCCCTTCTGGTTTGTCAGCCGCCCTGAGTCCCTCCGGGAATAGGGCGGCATACAAGTCGAATAAACCAACCAACCAATGAACCAACCAAACCAACCATAACCCCCCTCCGCTTTTGGTGTGATTTTTCATCCTCCCCAGGCTCCAGGGGCTTTCTAGGAGCCTGGGGAGGGTGAAAACAGCCTCCCCCCCGGAGCCCCTCTGGAGGCGTCAGGAGCTTCCCTGAAGCCTCTGGAATGTGAAAAACCAGCCCTATGGGCAAGGCGGAAGTTCAGGAACAGACTTCCAGTTTGCTCGTATGGCTGTTTTTTGCCCTTCAGAGCCTTCAGAGAAGCCTCCTGAAGGCTCCGGAGGGCAAAAAACGATCCTACAAGCAAACCAGAAGTCCATCCCTGAACTTCCGGTTTGCCTGTAGGGCCAGTTTTTCACGCTCCGGAGGCTTCAAGGAAGCCTTCAGTGGGCGAAAAACGGCCTCAAAAGAAGGCCAAAGTCAGCTGGCCAGCACAACGCCTCTTGTGCTGACGAATGGCACCATGTGGCACCTGTGGCACGCGTGCCATAGGTTCGCCATCACAGATTTAGTTGTAGAGAACCAGTAACTTGGACCAGGGATAGTAATCACTTACCTTCCCTACTGGTTCGCAAATGGCACGTGTGCCACGTCTGTCCATGCACTCCGTGTTCTGTGCATGCGCTTTGCCTAAAAAAAAGGCATAAATGGGATGCCATAGAGCCGGGGCGGGTGGGCGGAGCCAGCTATTATTTCCACTACGGATTTGGGCAAACCAGCCCAAGCCGGTAGAATACCACCACTGACTTGGACTGTACAAATCTCCCACAATTTTCAACCTAGACCCAACTACCTGCCTGATTAGATGACCCTTCGATAGGCAGATCAAAATGTGAACCAAAGGAATTTCATATATTTGTAAATATAGTGACCCGTCTCTAAATATTTGCAATAAACCAATGACTCACCGAGTCATTGTTTTAGAGATATTTCCTTACCTAAACGGAGAAACAGAATAACTACAAGTGGGCAAAGAAGCAACTTCTTACTTCCTGCCAGCTTCCCCATTAACTTCGCCTGTAGGACGCTGGCAGGGGGCATTGGAAGCGATGATCCCATGACCACAGTTGACTTCCCTGAACCAGCCACAGCTTTGCCAAATTTCAATCCCATGGGAATCATGGGCCCCAGATTTTGGATTCATTCTGTAAGTTAGCCTATTTGAGGTACATTGATTCAAAAACCGCGGTCCTGTGATGCACCGTTTTGCCCAAGTAAAGGTTACAAACAAGCAGATACGGGTTTTAGCAGAATACAGAATCCCTGCGTGGATTAATTTGAACTGGTTGTGAGCGTGTGTAGATGGAAGTTTCTGTCCTCTCTAGAACTGCATTTTCCATTCAGTATCCATTACAATTCTGACTTTGCTTTCTTACAGGTTGAACATACTGTTGGCTGGGATGAATCCCTTCTACTTCCATGCCTTGAATGTAGTCCTGCATTGCCTTGTGACGCTTGTGCTGATGTATACTTGTGACAAAACTGTTTTCAAGGATAGTGGCCTGGCTTTTGTCACAGCTCTATTTTTTGCTGCCCATCCCATTCACACTGAGGCCGTAAGTATGCGAGATCACTTTAAGCTACAAATACAATCCCGTTTCGTGGAAGTTTAGATCATCCCAGTTATAGTCTCTCCTGTAAAGATAAGTGTAATATTGGCTTCATTAAAAAGCTTAATATCTTCTCAATATTTGTGATAGATCTTTGAGGGCACTTAAGACTTTAGATCCATTCTAACGTAGAGCAAGTTTTCTTAGAAATAAATCCTATGTATTTCAGTGAGACTTTTTTCATACCAGTTTGCCTCCACACTTTGAAAATAATTTTAATTAACTGCCTCTATCAATATTGTATAAGGGACAGGGTGGCTCAGTGGCTAAGATACTGAGCTTGTCAATCAGAAAGGCCGGCAGTTCAGCGGTTCAAAGCCCTAGCGCCGTGTAACGGAGTGAGCTCCCGTTACTTGTCCCAGCTTCTGCCAACCTAGCAGTTCGAAAGCATGTAAAAATGCAAGTAGAAAAATAGGAACCACCCTTGATGGGAAGGTAACAGCGTTCCGTGCGCCTTCAGCGTTTAGTCATACCGGCCACATGACCACAGAGACCACTTCAGCTCTTCGACTTTGAAAAGGAGATGAGCACTGCCCTCTAGAGTCGGGAACGACTAGCACATATTTACTATCTTTACTATCAATAATGTTAATAAAAAAAGGCCAAGTGTTTCATGGAAGAATAACGAGAAGTTTAAAAAATAATCACACAGTGTTTTTTAAAATATACTTTAAATGAAGACGTGCAAAATTAAGTAACGTGGGAATAAACTGTTTTGGAAATTCTGAAACTTTCCACACAATGCTGTATCTGAACCTTGCTTTTTCCCAGGAGTTGGTTTTGTGGTTTCTGGGAATAAATTATCTGAACCAGAAATGGCTCACGGTATACTAGATATAACATTTCAGATAAAACAGGCCTATTTTGAAGCTAGATCTCATCCAGGTCATCTTGAATCACATTTGCTTTGGAAAATCCTTAACCCCCCAAAATGGCCTCCCTTGGTTAGGTTTTATTTTGGGAAAAATAATCTGTATTATAGGTACCATACAAAATGTTGGAAATGTTCCTCACACAGATGGATTTATAAATCTTAATTTTAAAAATGATTTGGCACTACATGCTTATATGAAAATATAAGCATACTGAGCAGTTACATAATGATTTTTAAGCTTATCTGAAATCAAATCTCTATTAACTCAGCCCTATTTTGTTAGAGGATTCAGAAAAGGCTATATAGTATATACAACGATCCTGTAGGATAGGTTAATATTATGATTGAAGGAATGAAACTGAAGGAACGTGAACGTCAGCTGGGTGACCTTGGTCCAGTGGTGGGTTCTGGATCCCATTGCAACCAGTACCCTGCGACGGGGCCGGGCACACGTGCTGCGCATGCATGCACCTGCCACCGCCCTGCGACGCCCCAGCTGCTTGGTGGAGGTTGCGCAGGCGCCGTATGCTGTGTGCGCATGTGCAATTGGCCCGCTTCCCTCAAAAAGCGGTAAGGAACGCGGATTGGTGGGCCAACGAGCCACCATTCTGGTATGGTAGCTGCTGCTCCCAGCTGCCACTGGTACACCTGTATCGGGCCATACCACCCGGAACCCACCACTGCCTTAGGCCAATCACTCCCCCTCAGCCCAACCCATCTCACGGGATTGTTGTTATGAGGGAACTAGGAGGAGGAAGAAGTGCTGGATTATGTTTGCCGCATTGAGTTATTTATAATAATTATAAAGGCAAGATTAAAAAAAATATTAAAAAAGAGAAACATTTGCATACGGCCATGTAATGAATTTATTTTGGGGATGATATTTAAATCACAAAGTGATTTAAAACATAGGGTTTTATTTAGTACACTAAGCCCTTACTAAGATTTTGTTATTTTTATCCAAGGAGGACAAGAAAGCGGGGAAGTCAAATTCCAAAACAACCAAATACATTTCTGGGAATTCTGCCATGTTTTTAGGAGGGAGTTTCGCTTTGGGACTTAATCCAAAATTGTCTGTCAGGCCCTTCTGACGTGACCAGAAGCTGTGAATTCATGCATCTATTTCAATGATGGTTGAGCCGAAGAATCTGTTGGAAGACTGCCTCCTTATTAATCCAGAGTTTTTCAATTTGCAGCTAGACAGCAGGCATCCGTGATTCAAGCAAATACTTGAGCTGTGTCCACAAATTTGGTATCCCTTTTTAGCAAACCGTAAATACACTTAACGATTCCTTTTGTTAACACAAACTGAGTATTGATTCCTCACTTGTTTAAAAAAAAATATTAAAGGAATATTTCCTCCAGTCCTTAAAAAACAAATACAAGAGTTGCAAAGTTTCTCCTCTTCTTTTCCAGTCAGGCAATAGGTAAGACACAATTGGACATGTTGCAGTATGCATTGCTTCTATTGGGAATACCAACCTAAATGTGTCTTCTAGGCCAGGGGTTCCCAACCTTGGGGACTTTAATTGTGGGAAATGAAATCCACCAGTCTTAAAGTTGCCAAGGTTGGGGACTCCTGTTTTAGGTTGATATATAATCCTGGGATGAGAGAGAGCTATGGGGTTGGACTAGAAGACCTCCAAGGTCCCTTCCAACTCTGCTATTGCATTGTATTGTAGTCTAACCCGCTGCATTATACCTATGCCATTCCAGACTGTCCAATCTCTTCTTACAATTCTACTACAGCATTTTTGGGAGAACAGAAACTTCTTGTATCTGACTACTGGTACTTTCTAGCTCTCTTCTGCCCCGACTTAAAGTTTCCCTTTAACTGTTTTGAAGATAATTAGAAGATATCCCTGTAAATTAGAAGGGATGTTTGCACAGATGTTAATGAAACAGTGCAAAAGGCTAATTGATATTTCTGTTGACTGGTGCTTGGTTTGGAATGTTGTGGTGGCAGATGTGGGCTAATTGTAATGGTGTAATGGTTTGGGAATGAGGGATCCCTAAAATGCCTAAAATTATGTACTTTTGAAAGGGTGAAATCAAACTTTTCATTACAAGGAAGTCTTGAGTTTTCTAAGTACTTCCCGGGATTAATCAAGCAGCTTTTACATTCTCCCACTATTTAAATAGGATTAAGTGGGTGCTTATGTGTGTATATCATTAGATTTGGGGAAAGTCTACAGAAGCGTTCGTTGGAGAATACAGCACATTTGGATTTTTTAAAAATCAAAATGAACAGAGTCCAGAGGGAAGACAAACAAACTTTAGCACAAGCCAAGTTTCAAAAGAAGTCTTTGGCGTTCAAGATACTTAGGGGAATTTATAATAAAGTGAATAAATGGTTAAGAAATTCACCACTTTGGGGGACACTGACAAAACTCTCAAGTCAGTGTAGTCATGAACAGTTATGTATGATCTGGGAAATGCTTTATCTTTCACAGGGAAGCATCTGCAGAAGCAATGAAAACTAATCAAAATGGCCACCACCCTGTATGTTAGGACCTACCCCTTTTCCATGCGTTGAGTGTAAGACGAGGAGGGGCTTCCAACATAGAGTTGGCATTTCTGACTGCTCCTATAGCCGTGATGGGAAACCTATGGCGCACGTGCTGGAAGTGGCACAAAGAGCCATCTCTATGGGCATGTGAGCCATCACCTGTTGTTCTTCTGGGTTCCGGCATGCTGACCAGCTGGTATTCAAGTGCACCGGAAACTGGAAGAGCAGCCGCCCGGTGTGCTAGCATGTGCCGAACAACTGGTCTTACGGTTTCTGGCACGCATGCACACACGGAGACCAGCTGGCCAGTGCTCATGCGCACGCCGGAAACCAGAAGATAATCTTCCCTGCATGCACATGCGCACTGGGTGGATGCTTTTCTGGTTTTCGGCACACGTCTGCGCGCATGCGTGCTCCCGTTTTGGCATTCAGTGCCGAAAAGGTTCACCAACACTGCCCTATAGGGAAGTGTATCATAGAGAAGAATTACTGGGTTCACTTATGAGATCCAACCATGTCTGTATTTATTTACATATTACATTAGAAGAACACTTGGAATACTGGATCCAGTTTTGGTCGCCACGATGTAGAAAAAATGTGGAGACTCTAGAAAGAGTGCAGAGAAGAGCAACAAAGATGATTAGGGAACTGGAGGCTAAAACATATGAAGAAGAGTTGCAGGAACTGGGTATGTCTAGTTTAATGAAAAGAAAGACTAGTGGAGACATGATAGCAGTGTTCCAATATCTCAGGGGTTGCCACAAAGAAGAGGGAGTCAAGCTATTCTCCAAAGCACCAGAAGGTAGGACAAGAAGCAATGG